GTAGAGTCCTCCTAGGAATCATATTCCTGAAAGATAATGCTTATCCTTCAACACCACCCTCACTGCTCAAACCAAGCGAGATGGTTTTACCATGGTTGGATTCCAGTATGACCGAGATAAGCGTGGCTATGCTAAGCCGCAGAGTAGACCAAACTATCTAGTTCGGTTCTTCCTTTCACTGCTCTTACCTCGGTTTCTCATGTACCACCCATGGCATGCTTAGACCAAGATAGCAAATAGCAAGGTTCTAACCGAGCTAACCATAGTATGTTATGACCGAGCTAACGCTAAGTAGGGTGACCGTGCTAACTGCAAAGCTCTTTTGGACCGGACTAATCTTCAAGATTTTCTCGGACCGGGCTAACTTCAAGGCCTTTTTTACTCAACCCTTCTTACTCTGGCCCTCAACGGCCCATTACTCAGCTCGGCCCAATTTAGATATAAATTACCCTCTCAGAAGTGATTATGATTTAGATGCAATAACTTTTAGCTTGGGGCTAAAAAATCTATTTTGTCTTTTTACATGGTTTGGGATGTAAGTTCTATAGAACGGCTATTAGATTAACGATGTTGTATGGGACGGAGTGTTGAGCAACCAAGAAACAACATGTAGATAAGATGAGTGTGGCTAAGATGATGATGCTAAGGTGGATGTGTAGCAAGACTAAATAAGACAGAATTAGGAATGAGTGTATTCGAGAATGGGTAGGAGTAGCACCGATGGAAGATAAGTTGAAAGAGAATTGATTGAGATGATTTGGTCATATTCAACGGAGACCAACAGAGACAGTAGTGAAGAGATGCGATACTGTAACAGTAGATAGAAGTGTTAGGAGACGGAGTAATCCTAGATTAACGTTGACTGGCGTTGTAAATAGAGATATGGATCTACTTAATTTGATTAATAAAATGGTCTTTGATAGGGCCGCTTGGAGAAGAAATATACATGTAACATACCCCATTTAATAGGATTTAAGGCTTGATTTAGTTTAGTTTAGTTTGGTTTGGTTTAATTTATTTCATTCACATGCATACAGGAGTCGGTAAAACTAAGAATGTTTTAGAGGAGGATGGTGTGCTAGGCATAGACAACCATATCCTTGGAAACTACTTGGCATGCCATGGAAAATCTAGTTTCAATGGGTTTAGTTCGCCGCATTGGGATCAGGTGTGCATTGATCTAACATTTTTTGGCACGGACCTTTTGTTCTCAAAATTAATGTCAATTGGTCCAATGCATTTTTAATTGCAAGATCATGTTTTCGAAACTCCCATTTTCTTATTTTAACTGGGAATTACATTAGAGTAGGAATAGAAATTTGAGGATAGAGAATTATTAGTTAGTCATTTCACCTCTTAATTACTCTCGTAATATGTTACATTAATAATGGATAAATTATGCTGATCACTCTAGAGATTTTTACAAAATATAATAAATCCTACAAGTTTAATATAATTACACTGGCATCCCCTTAATAAAACTAAAACAAAGAAATTACAGCAATAGGTATATAAACACAGGAACAAATAAGAATAAAATATACATTTTCTTACAGAAAGTAAGAAATTTCATGGAAATATAGGGGGCATCCCCTATTGGGACAGATTGGATCATTCAAGATAAGTCAACACTACATAGAATAAAACAACCAGAAGTAGGAATGGCAACGGGGCGGGGCCGGGGATCACCCTCCCTGTCCCCGATCCCCGAAGGCACAAAAGTCCCCATCCCCGTCCCCGATCCCCCGCGGGGAACCCATCACCCTCCCCACCCCCGCCCCGATCGGGGATCAAGGATCCCCGACCCCGAAAAATCCCCGTAAAAAACAACATCCACAACAAACAACAACCCCCCAACAGAACAGATCAGCAACCACAACATTACAAGAAAAAAAAAATAGACAGATCTGATACACACACACATACATGTATACATAAACAATAAATGAACAAAAAAAAATGATACTGATACACACTCACACACACACATACATGTATACATATACACAGATCTGTGTGGATTGCGCACGGATCCATGTCGATCGACTCAGATTTACGCCGAAACATGGCTGAAACCACGGTGCTACGGCGAGAGAGAAGAGAGAGAGGAGGTGCTACGGCCTACGGCAGTGCTGCGAATCTGCGATGGAGGATAGTAGAGAAAGTGTTGCGACGGAGGACGGCGGAGCGGTTGTTCTTGAGACTAGATCTGGTCTGGATCGACATGGCTTTGAGAGAGTTGACAGAGAGAGAAGAACCAGAGAGTGAGAGAGTGAGAAAGAGATGAGAGTCAGTTGAGATGAGAGTATGTATATGAGAGAGAGAGAGAGAGTTATGTGAATATAATAATACAACAATAATACAACTAAACATATAAATAGGATATACGCGGGGATCTTTCGGGGAAATGTCGGGCCGGGGCCGGGGCCGAGAAATTTATCCCCGTCCTCGGCCCGAAAATCATCGGGGATGCATTTTTTAATACCAACCCCGGCCCTACGGGGAATAATTTTCGAGGAAAAACCTATTTATCGGGACGGGGCAGTCCGGATCCCCGTCGGGCCGGGTTCATATTGCCATCCCTAACCAGAAGTCTTCATTTTATAATTAGTCAAGGACCAAATAAAATAAAGGCTATAACGTGAGGTCAAATAGCAATATCATGTTCAGTATATTTTAGTCATCCTTGTAAAATAACTAACGGAAAGGAAACACATTTGTTTTTGACCTATTTTAAATTGAATTTCTCTGATTATAAAAGTGTTCATCTATATATATGAATAAGAAAATAAATTTTGGGATGCTGCAGCAACTGTGGGATTTTGCTAACCAGAGATTGCTTGGCATATGCAAAAGTCAAGCCAGCAGATAGAGTTACACCCATACTTGCAGTGTGAATCTCTTGTTAACTTCTGTCAAAAATATGGCATCTGTTTCACTGCCCACACTCCCCTCGGCGGCGCTTTGGCTAACTCTCCTGTTCGGTTCTATCTAATGCTTGGACGATACCATTCTCCAAGTAAGTTAGAAAATTGGGCAAACTTCACTTTACCCCCTATGGTATAGGCCATGTGCAAATCATCCCTTGACGATCAAATATCATCCTCTGACATTCGAATATCACTACATAACTCCCTGTGGTTAATGGAGTGAAGTGCACAATTAGCCTTTCCATCTGTTTTAACAGGCTGTGCAATGCACGCGAGGGCTGTACAATTGGTCATAGAAAGATGATTTTTCATCCGAATTAAATGACTAAAATGCCCTCATCTTTATCACCAATTTGCAAACCAGCTTTTCTGCTTCATTTTTCAAAACCCAGATCTGGAAATCTTTACCCAGAAGAAGAAAAAAAAAATAGTAAAATTACAAACTCCCACCGGTAGCTCCATAATGAAACCACTCCCAGTGAAAGTAATCAATTACAAATGTTTAAGTTTGATCAAATGTAATCACACAGTGAAGGTAATCTAGTTTAACAAATGTAACAAATGTAACAAATGTTTAATCAATTACAATACACAGTGAAAGTAATCACAATCTAAATATCTATTTTGTTTTGATTTTAACAGTTTCTTCTTCTTCTACATATCTATTTTGCTTTGATTTTAACAGTCTAAATATATATGTGTGTGTGCATAATAGATAGAAACAAATTTCAGATGTATATATGTATGTAAATAAATATTAGTTGTCAGATTGTTGAATGTTGGACCTAAGTTTCCTATGTTTTGTGGGTTGCCCAGAAGCACAGTTGGCCTTTGGACAACCCTTCCCACCGACACAACTACTCTTCCTATGCCGTCGTCCACCCTCGTACCACCGCCAGCGCCTCAAACCCACCCAGCTGCACCGCCCCTCTTCCTCTTCTTCTTGGTGATCTGAAAACCCCCATGTAGGAGAAGAGATCTGAGATAGATCTGCGATAGAGATGGCGATCTGCGTCAGAAGTCGCCGCCTTCCTCGCTCCTCCTCCTCAACCATCGCCGTCTTCGTTCTTGAGCTCATCGATGAGAACCACAATCAGATACAGAGGCTCGTTGATCATAGGAAGGCATAGAGGGTTGGGTGAGAAATGGTAAACAAGGATTATTTATAAAGGCAAAATAGTTTTTTACTTCTGCCATTAACAGTGTTAACTGTGCACTTCACTCCATTAACCACGGGAGGCTTATGTGGTAATATTCGAATGTCAGGAGATGATCCGCACATGACCTATACCATAGGAGGGTAAAGTGACGTTTGCCCTAAAAAATTTCTTCCTCTCTCTCTACCTTTGATATTTTATAATTGAATGATAACGTAACATGCTAATGATAATGTGATGTGAATAATTTTTTTCTCGCTTATGTGGTGTCAGGGTTTGGCTGAGAAATAAAAAAAGACAGTGGCACAGATAATTCTCTGATGGGGTATACAAAGGAACACAGCAGTAATCCCAAGGACATCAAGAATTGAGAGGTTAGAGGAGAATATGCAGATATTCGACTTTGAGTTAGCCAAAGAGGACATGGATCCGATTAAGAGCATCCACAGGAAGCACTGGATCAATCCACCTGCCAAAACCTGGGGCATAGACATATATGAATGAGAAAGTATGCAGAACGGGACACCAAAACAATTGCAGAATAGATACAAGGGTGGGTGTGGGCTCTACACCCCTCTGTTCTGTGAATTTTTACTGTATCCATAGCAAAAATTATTGAGAGATTATCCTTAATTATGTTGAGAATAAGAGTGTAATCCAGAAGATCATTACATTTTTTAGGAATCTATTATCAATAATTCTGGATCACGGAATGCACCTACTAAACTCCAACACTTGCGTGTCGAATTATGTAATGTCAGAGCATTTATTCTATGTTGGCCTGACATTGCATGAAAAATGTTGCTCTCCCAATTTTATTTTATTTTATTTTTAAATTACAAAAAATCAGATATTTGTAACCCCAAGCTGTAGAAGATGCAAAAACAGAGTAAAGAGTCATAAAAGACCAAAATGCAAGTGTGAATCATCTGAACAATAATCTTGAAGAAAGACATTGAGATTGTGTCAGTTGAAAATACAAAATTAAAAGATCTATTGGAACTGTAGCTGTAACTACATTTGTGTACAAACATCTCAAGTTTTTTATCTTTAACATTACAAGAAATTGGAATCGTTTGATTTCCATTAACCAGTGGTATATCCAATCTCTGTACTAAAATCACTAAAAACAAAAGGGACGATTGCGAATCGGCTTCTAGGGTAATTATCAAATTTATGGAGATACCATTTGTGTGTTTCAGCACCTGCAAGCACAAGATTTGCCGACTGCCACACCAATACAAGAAACTTTGGCTTCATGTAAGAATCCAAATGCATGGATCATTAACTATTTATCAAGTGAAGGGTTTGAAGCAATACCACGAATCCAAAAATTAACCAGACTGTGAGGTCTGCACCACCACTAGCAACCATAAGACCGGCACATATAACCTACAGCAAAAATCAACAAGACAATGAAAATGCAAGTGACTGAAAACTTATTGTTTTAACTCGGGACACTATGATTTTCTCAGCACATGTACCAGACATATTTCAGCTACTATTCTGGGCTATTGAGATTGGGAAGAATTACTTAGAAAGAAATAACCGAAGAGAACTAAGAGTTGTAGGGCATGAGAGTTACAAGCCCAGCTAAGTAGTGAGGAGAAGAAACATAGTCAAACCAATCGCCATGAGGAATTACGTACTCATTGGCTTGTTCTGGCTTCTTCCGCAATGAACCTTGGTTGAAGGTAGAAGGGTCAGTCGATGGTACAAAGAATGAACAATATTTTTATTTATTTTTTTGGACAAATAAGCAAACAACCTTTATTAAAAAAGTATCAAGATGATTCAAAGAATACAAAACCCCACAAGGGGAATCACCCTCTAACCAATAACCTCATCCAAGAACTCTAAAAACCCAAACATATCTGGATCAATTTTCAATTCTAACCAACTATACAAAGCAACAAAGTAAACAACTCTCAAGCCAACTATCTGTACGCTGAATCTCCTGAAATGTGCGTCTATTACGTTCCAGCCACACTAACCACATCAAACAAAATGGGATCAAATACGACACACGCCGTCTTCAACGACTAACCTGAGCCCCACACCAGCTCCACAACATATGCAACACCCTCCGCGGTTGAACCCAAGCAATCCCAAAAAGAGAGTAAACAAAACCCCACAAACGGAACGCCATGGAACAATGCAAGAACAAATGATCCACAAACTCTGCATCTTCACAACACATATAGCACCGATTTACTAGAGTATGACAACGCCACGTCAAGTTATCAATCATACGATTCCAACCCAAAGCCGCTGTCCACGTAAAGAAAACCACCTTAGATGGAACTCGTGGCACTCAAACACTCCTCCAAAGAAAATCCTGTCTCACCTCCCCCACCATGCTCCAATAGAATTACGAGACCGAAAAACGCCCCCTTAGCCCCAACATTCCACCCCAAAACATTCTCCTCCACCCCAGAAAATGAGCAATATATCCAAGTCAAGCTCCAAAATGTAATTGGGAACTATAGTCACACACAACTTCCCTACTCCCATGATGTAACCATAAAAAAGATGGCTGCAATGGACCATAATAATGGACTCGTCCATTTGACATTGGAAATGAATTTTATCATACATTTCAGGTTTCAGGTGTGATTGCCATTATGGCACATGATGTATCAATTGTAGACTGCCATCATATATAATTCATGCATGCCGAGACCTTTAACATTTCAAATCAAGCAATATATATGACGAGAGACAGATGAAAACAATAGCGTAATAAGACACAACAAGATTTATTAAAGACATGCTTGTGTGTATCACATATGAAGAAGCTGAGTTCTGACTACAAACTCCTTAGGTAAAATACAACTCCTTATGGGTGAGATAAATTCATGAGAAAACCATTTCGTCTCTTAAAAATTAAACTGATATTATTTCCAGCATTTTTCTTTAATGCAACAAAGAAGCACGTGAAGCACTGCAGTGGTCTCCATTTACAAGTAACGTTCTTGACAGTAGGCACCAACTTCTTGCGATGATAACATATTTATGTAATATTAAGTATTAACTAACAAGCAAATAAAGACTTAGTGAATTAGAAGTTATTGAGCAACATTAATTATGTAATTTATTGACCAAAGACAGTATTCCAAACCTAAGAGATTTAAATCTCAATCAAACAAAAGTATATGACAGATGTGAAGCTTACAAGAATTGCATGACAACGGTGCTGATGTATCCAACCCCATAAAAATATAGCCATCCCAATCCACGAGTACCATCTAAGGATCATAAGAGGACTGGCAAATCCCCACCAATCAAATTCTTTGGCTGGGATCTGATTCTTTCCTTCAACAATGAATTCAACCACCCGGTTCGAAGCAAAAACAAAGGTCTCCAGTGCAAATGTACAGCAAAGTGGCAACAGTGCTGCTGTATAGAAACTATAGAAACTAAGCTCAGAAAGATGCCAAATATCAGTAAAATATCTTCCTACACATCAACGGTATCATTTCATCAATGGTAAGAGAAAAGTTGACTATTCACACTAAACAGTTTCATAGCAAATCACCGTTTGATAATAGTCATCAATCATTCAGCAATAAATTTACAGTAACATGTGCTGTATTTGCTATCATGAAAATAGCATTCTGTTCATTCTATAAAATCTAAATGCCAGAAACAAGCTTATTATGGTGTTGTTCTTTGATCCATGAACCTTCACAGGTCTGCAAGAAGGTGCATGGTTGAATTTCGAATCAAATCTAGACTGTGAGTCAAATGGTAAAAACAGTGACATCCCTAGTAAAAAAGGCTAGGTCAGAAGTTTTGTTTCCATTTGCAATTGTACTGGTTCTCCATTTAAGTTATCATTGTTAATTAATTTTGATTTATGCTTCCTCTATTACAAAAACAACTGTATTGATGGATAACAAACAAAAAGCATCGAAATAAAGAATCCAGTAAGGAACCTATTGATCCCACAAAATGATGAGGGATCAGTGTAATACCACCCACCCAAGAACCCACAGAATTCAACCTTGAAAAGCAGCATAAGCATGACCTTGTCAAGCATAAACTCAATTAGAGCAAGGAGAAAATTTTGTATCAATCAAATTAAAGATTAAAATTATAGATCATAAAGTTTTCAGGTTATGAAACTTACAATAGGCCAGGAAGGTAGCCAAAAATGTGCATCTGAGCTCAATGCTTGAACTTCCATCAACAAAAGCAGAAACACAGACCGCCATACCGTGTCTCTCAGTGTTTGAACTTTCACTACTAGAATATTGCAATGGCTCAGACACCAACGGTGCCATTTTATACGCATAAAACCAAGCTGCAGCAAGCAAGAATGTTGTCCAAACCACAGCCGACGTGTAAAAATGACAGAAGAATTTCTGAGGTACAGTGAATTTCTACAATTCAACAATGAGAAAAGGTAGGGATCATGAAATTTTTTTCATGAAAATGATCATGAAAGATTTGTGACCTTTAGATTACCTTGATTAGTGTGTGGTACTTTATTTTAAGTGTAATCCAAGAGTCATAAAACTTTCATGATTATTTTCATGAAACTTTTTTCATGATACCTAGCATTGCTCTTTTCAAAAAATTTGTTTACCTTTACGGCGGTCCTCCTTGTGTCGTAGACGAATTTTGAAAATATTTGTTTTAAAAAATTCTTTAAAAAATAAAAAAAATAATTTTTTTTTTCCTGTTGTTTTGGGAATTTTTTTATCTTTATTTTTTAATTTTTCAATTCGTCTCGTGCAGAAATTTAAAAATATAATTGTTTTTGATTTTTTTTAAAAAAAAGTTCACTACAAATAAAACTAAGCGCACACAAGAAAGAAAAAAAAAAAAAAAAAACCACAAACAAGTAAACCCAAAACACCTAAAGCAAAAGTATGTGGGAGGGTCTGGCAATTGTTTTTTTTTTAAAAAAAAAAAATAGAAAGGCAATTTTGTTTGGCTTTGTAATTTTTTTTTTGGTGAGTGAAAAAGTTGATTTTTTTAGTTGCATTTTTAGCCCATGGCAAAGGAGGTTTTGAAGCTTTCAGTAGATTGTTCCATTAAAACTTTTCATGATTGCATCAAATTTCACTGAAACTTCGTTCCATTGAATTGTTAAACAGTAATGTTAGGTATCATGAAAAACCTTTCATAAAAATAATCATGAAAGTTTTGTGACCATTGGATTACACTTAGAATAAAGTACCACACACTAATCAAGGTAATCCAAGGATCATAAATTTTTCATGATCATTTTCATGAAAAAAATTTCATGATCCCTAACTTTTCTCATTATTTATTGGAGCACTTTCATAAACTATGTTTAGATCCTAAATTTGCAGCGAGAGAAAAATTTGGGACAAATTATAAAAAAAAATCTCAAGATTTTGTATATTTTTCAAATTAAACTCCAAAGTTTTAATTTCATTAATTTAAATTTTAAATTCTATTCCATGTCACAATCTATGCTCTCCGTCTGTTGAACTAATGGAAAACTCAATTTTTTGCCAAAGCCATCCCAATATGACGTCAAGTCCCACATATAACCCCCAAATCTCTATTAAATGTTTAAAATATATTTTTCATGGAATTTAATAGTTAAAATACTATTTTTTCTGCCAATTTTTTTAATAGTTAAAATACTATTGGAGTTGCCATTGCCAAAATTTAACAATAGTCTCCAAAAATCTTACTCCTATAACTCTTGTTAAATTTGACAATTGCCATTTCTTCTGTCAAATTTGGCAACACGTTTGGTAATCATCATCCAAATAAATAGAATTTGGCTCCAAAATTTCTATGGAACAAAAAAACACATTGGGAAAAATCCAATAACAATACAATAATAATAAAAAATACTATTTTCTACATTTTTGGAGATGGAGATAGAGGCAAACCCCCCCCCCCAAAAAAAAAAAAACAAAAAACAGAACATATATATATATATAACAAATTTAGAAAACAACAACAACAATCACTACAAAGACAATAATCAAACAATTTGAGAGAAATTTCAAGCAATCTCAAACAAAGTAAAAAGAATCTCAACTAATTTCAAGTAAATTTCAAACAATTTCATAAATGAAATTTCACAAAAATAAATACTTGGAAAGGGGTTTGAAGTTTCTTCATCTTCTTCACTCAATTTTGTAGTGGTATCAAATGGTGGGGTAAATTATATTTATATATATATATATATTAATATTTTTAATTTTTTATATTTGTCTAGTCAGATAAAATGTAAATATTTAAATTTTTTTAGAAAAAATTTGAAAAAGGTCATAAAAGATAAAAAAAAAATAAACAATAAAAAAATCACTAAAAAACACATAACCTAAAATCTTATTCAAGGCTTATAAAAAAAAATTTAAAAATTCTGAAAATATTTTTGATTTAAAATATAAAAATAACAGGTGCAAAAATAAAAATAAAAATTGAACACTGTTTCGATCAACCGGTCGGACGTCCGGGTTAGCCAAATTTTCTCGCCTAGAAAAAAGTTTTTAAAAGTGGGTGCAGAGTTATAATTTGAAAACTTAAAACAAATATTACATTGAAATCAATGGAGGGAAATGTGTTTGGAGAGTTTCTCCAAACACAACTATAGTTCTAGGGTTTCATGATTTCATTGCAAATGTGGCTGAAAATTAAACTAGATTTAGGGTTTGTGTAGAGAAGAAGAAGAGAAGAAAGGATTACGGGTTTGTCGGGGACAATGTGTTTGCCGACGGGGAGGTCAATGCCGACGCGGAGCTGGAGAGAAGAGGAAGCGGAGCGGGAAACAACACCGTTTCTACCGTGATCTAAGATGCGACGTGGCTCAACCTTCCAGCATTTTTTCCGATTAGAAAAATTTTCTGGAAAAAAATGATGATGACTCCTC